ACCACAATACATACAGTAGTCTACAGTAAGTAAAATAACTAATAGTAAATGAATAGATAAATAACAAATGTGCCTTAGTTCACCGCCGGTGAGCCACAACAGCATTTCAGGCAGTTTATGTGTGAACATCATGTCTGTAGGGAGGGATGTGAGGTTTGCTTGTTCAGGAAACAGGGAGAGAAGCTTCCTGTTATGTAGATGGTTGTTTGGTAATCCGACTGTCAGATTTGTGTTTGTATACGTTTCTGTGGGAAAATAGGAAAGGATTACAGAAGCACATTATCCAAACACGTGTGGCATAGGCTGACTGTATGTATGTTGATGTTATGTATTCCTGTACTTGGAGGCACATTATTTGATCTGTGTTTATTTTATATGTAACACCTATCAATTAAAAATGTCACAATTGCTAATTGTAATTTTTTTGTCGTTATTTTCCAACATAGTAAGGCTCTGATTGACTCTTAGCTAGCAAATGCATGACTGTTACATGATAGTGGAACGCAACATTTTTTATATTACTATGGTGTTTTTTTTTTTAAAATATACATATTTCTGCTCTTGACATTACACCATTGTCATTCTTAAGTTTTTCATTTTCTATTTTCTAATTTCTCAAAGGGCGTCAAGTCTCTGTCGTGTAGGATTGTTTGTCTTTTGAATGTTGTGTATAAAGGAAGTGATACCGTATGTGGTAAAATAAGATAAAGGTCCATATTTGGTTACTCTCACAGAAGGTAGGCAACCATGTGATAACTCTCAGCCAATCAGTGAAGAAAGGTAACAAAAGTTAGCGTTCCAGGTTAGAAATTATACTTGAATATTGATGTATACTGTCAAATAATGGATAGTTATTGAAAATAATGAAATGTACCAAAGTAAAATCGGTGTTTTGATGTCTAATAATAATAAAAATAAATTCATGTATTTTCGCATGTATTAAAATACAATTTCTTCTCTTGACATTACACCATTGTCATTCTTAAGTTTTTAATTTTCTAATTTCTCAAAGGGCGTCAAGTCTCTGTCGTGTAGGATTGTTTGTCTTTTGAATGTTGTGTATAAAGGAAGTGATACCGTATGTAGTAATATAAGACAAAGGTCCATATTTGGTTACTGCCATAGAAGGTAGGCAACCATGTGATAACTCTCAGCCAATCAGTGAAGAAAGGTAACAAAAGTTAGCGTTCCAGGTTAGAAATTATACTTGAATATTGATGTATATTGTCAAATAATGGATAGTTATTAAAAATAATGAAATGTACCAAGGTGAAATCGGTGTTATGATGTCTAATAATAATAAAAATAAATTCATGTATTTTCGCATGTATAAAAATACAATTTGTATGTTGTCTTTTGAATGTTGTGTATAAAGGAAGTGATACCGTATGTGGTAAAATAAGATAAAGGTCCATATTTGGTTACTCTCACAGAAGGTAGGCAACCATGTGATAACTCTCAGCCAATCAGTGAAGAAAGGTAACAAAAGTTAGCGTTCCAGGTTAGAAATTATACTTGAATATTGATGTATATTGTCAAATAATGGATAGTTATTAAAAATAATGAAATGTACCAAGGTGAAATCGGTGTTATGATGTCTAATAATAATAAAAATAAATTCATGTATTTTCGCATGTATAAAAATACAATTTGTATGACTTATTTATGTTGATTGTTATTCAAACAGTTGTGTTTTGTCTATGTAAAATGTTTTTTTTTTTTCATAAACTCCGCGAGATTATTACTTTAGTTGAGCCCACCATTAACACACACTCATAACACACACGCACACGAAGTTTGTGTGTGTGTGGCCATGAAGAGCAGCGGCGTCTCTTGGATGGCGACGAAGCAGCGAACACCAGCTGAGTCTTTTGGACACTTTTATTCTTTTCGTAATATTTAATATTGAGTTAGAGCTGCTTCTGTGGACGACATGTGGCGGGAGACGTTAGCTTCGTCAAAATGAACACAGGTAAGCTAAAGATTTAATTGACAATGTATGTGACGCTCTTGTAAATGTTGCATTCATCAACTGGCGTATCAACTTCTTCAGTATATTTATTTCATGTTTTTTTAAAGCCCTGTAGATTTGAATAAAACACGAATTTAGCAACATTTAATACTTTGTTGGTTTTTATCCATTGGTGCCTTTGCTGACTTTGCAGCACTATGAATGAATTTATATCCTGAGCTGTCTTTAAAATGTAAATTAGGAAAGCCATGATTAGCTTCCTCCTCTGAGAGTGTTCATGTTCTCCAAATGAAACACATTTATCACATATAGATTGCTGTCCATTTGTCACTGTATTACATACGATACAGTCCTGTGGTTGCATTCTAAATGCATGAGCAGTTGCTTTAAGGGGCATTGAATCACAGGAAGCCACTCAGGGAAATCCCTTCCATTATTGTTCCTCCAAAGGGTGGACAAGCATTCTCCAAATATACATTAAGAACCAAATCTACACTTTTGAACTTGACAGTTACACAAAACGTTGTTAAGAATTTTAATTAATACGCAGGGTCACATTACAATTTGACGTTTCAGGGACACCCCTTGAGTGAGCTGCAATCTATTTTAAGGTACACCATCTTACCGTTTCCTTTTCCTGTTGTTCCTTCAGACTGCGCCAACGAGTCCCGTGTCACTCCAAAGCTATCACTTGTTTGTCCCACCCGCGTGACGCTAATGTCCGCAGCCAGGGGTCCCAAACCTTCTGTTGCCCCCAAACCTATCCTGAAGCTCCATTCCAGGGAACCCTTCCTTTCAGGTATCCCAGAGGGATACGTTAACGGGGGTCTCAATGGAGGGACATTTTCTGACCAAGATGAAGTGTCATCACAAAGACAAACTTTCAGTGAGAACCAACTTGATCAGGAAGAAGAGATACTTCCAAAGACTGATGAGGACTGGAGACTAACGGACAGTGCCCTCGCGGAGGAAGTAGATTCCCTGGATACGCTGTGGACCAGCGATGACCGGCTCACCATTGACTCGGAGGACGCGGTGGAGATGATTGACACTACAGACGTGACAGAGGACATGGACGAGGATGCCGGCGAGGCGCTGGCCGACGCGGATGGCCTCTCAATGGGAGACATTTCCGTAAACAGCGTGGATGAGGAAAAAGGGGCCAGGATAGTGAAGATAGCGCCGAGGCGGGAAGAATTGGACCACACAGCCGAGTCTCTCAATGATGATGTCCTTAGTGAACCCAGCCAAGAAGCGTCCACTTCAAATAATGGAATCCCCTGTAAGAGCCTCAAGGGTGACCACGAAAATGGTGAAAATCCGCAGCTCAGCGCCGTTGAGGAAGACCCTACCATTCGAATTGGTGACCACAAGCAGATCTGTCATGAATCAAAGAGGCACATCGCCTTGGAAGACTATGAAAGCCACGAGCCTTATTACGTATCTCCAGCGGACATTATCAGGAAAGATATGATCCCGAATCAAAATAAAGCTTGTGGTGTACCAGGTAGTCCACTTTCATCACCGAGGCAAGGTGGTTTCTCTGCGGAAAAGTACCACAAAAGTAAAGGCCAAATCGGCTCTGTAGGGTACCAGAGAAGTAGGTCTGTTACAAGTGAAGAGCACAGACTAGATGCCTTGTTGAATCGTTTGTATTCTCAACCCAAATTCCGTCTGCTCTGCACCTCTGATAATTCGTTGACTTCTTCTTTCGTGGGAAATCAACTGGTTGTACCAGGAAAGCCCGACTTCTTCGGGCACGCTTTGGGCGATGACGTCAGCGATACAGACATCAGTGACGACCACCTTTACGAGGATCCTGGAGATGATCGCTCCGAGTGTGAAAACGTATTTCCTTTGAGCAGGAGCACATCGGGAATATGCTCTCGCTCCTTGTCGCATCACATGAACAGCGAGGTCGGAGGGCGCCTCGTACATCGACCCAGGTTCGGTCAGAAAGGACCCGTGTTGAGCAAAAGCCCTATGTTGAAGACCTACCCCAAACCTCACTATCTGTCCGTGCACACCTCATCCTCGACGTCCACGCCTGCTTGTGCCCACGGAGACACTGAAGGCTCTCCTTGTGGAAGGTTCTCTGGATGCACACCTCTTTCATCCAGTGGCTTGTCTACACCCACGTCTGTAATGGACATCCCGCCGCCTTTTGAGCTGGCCTACATCACCAAGAGACCCATCGCCAAGAGTTCGCCCTCCCTGCTTATTGACGTGGACTCCTCCGAGAAAAACCGAAAGAAGAAATCCTCCATTAAACGCTTCCTGATGCTGAAGTTTCGACGGAAAGCGGAGAGCAAGCCCTCCAACCTGTCCTCGTCCGAGTCCTCAACAGAGTCCAGCCACGTGACACCCAGCAGACTGCTGGATCCGGAAGGACACAGCGTTACGAGTTCCCCGCGGCTCCTCCATCGCTCCACTTGCCAACCTCAAGCATCACCTCAGCCAGCGCCTGCCTTCTTGTTCTACCAGGACGCCACAAGAACAGGAAGATCGGCGGCCTTCCTCAATCGCAGCGTGGTGCGAGTGGAGTCCTTTGAGGAGCGCTCCCGTGTGCCTTTCACACCGCTGCCTCTTACCAAGCCTCGCTCCATCTCCTTCCCCAATGCGGATACCTCAGATTATGAGAATGTTCCCGCTGTTAATTCGGACTACGAGAATGTTCAAGTCCCCCAGTGGAGGCCCGTGCAACCGCGGCCTTTGGGAGACTTCTTTGAGCGCCCCACGCGGATGCTGTCGTCTGCCAATGAGACGGATGGTTACGTTGATATGAGTAGCCTCCCTGGCTTTAACGTCAAAGCTAAGTCGTCTGAGCAGGAAGAAGAGAGGTGAGTTATGCTGCGTGTGGACTGAAGCTAATGAGTTACAGAGGGATGTTGAACAGGATCCTTTTGAGAACCTCGGACCTGTTCCAATTCCAGTACTATTCACCATAGAAACTAATGGAAATGTACGAGTGGTTAGAACAGGGGTGTCAAACTCATTCTAGTCGCGGGCCAATTTGGAGTTACGTTTTCCCTCGGAGGGCCGTTATGACAGTGAAACCACAAAAATGATTACTTGTACACAACAAATTAATAGACGGCTAGCTTTGAAATCAGTCAAGTCAATTATAATTGTTCAAATTATTCTTGCTTGTGGAGGCTCTCAGTCGTACAGGAAAGTTCCATCGTAGAAAGGGTTCTGTCAGTCGTCATCTGTACCTGTGGGTAAAAAACAAAAAAAAAA